AGAGATTTTAGTGACATTGCAGATTTAGATTAGTGTAGGCATTTTATACCTTTATTAGGCAGTAAACCGCAGACAGCCGGTGGGAAATGAAAGGAGAGACACCAAAAGAGACTAATGACAAGTCAGTGGAGTAATCAAATTACCACTAAGCTAACTGGTTAACTACCCGACTGACTCAGAGTGTGTGTGTTTTCCAGGCGGTCGATGCTGTGCTTTCTCTCCTGACGGAAAGGCGTTGGCGGTTGGTCTCAGTGATGGCGGCGTGCTGGTGGTGAACGCAGACACGCTGGAGGATCTCCTGGGCTTTCATCATCGCCGCGACACCATCTCTGACGTCCGCTTCACTCCAGGTACACGAACACACACATTAACACAAACACGACTGTGTTTCCGCTTAAAGATAAATCCTCTCATTCTCACTTTTATCTGACATTTTCTCGCACACACGCATTGGTCTCAGACTCGGGCAAATTCCTGGCGGTGGCATCACACGACAGCTTCGTGGACATCTACAATGTGCAGAGCAGCAAGAGAGTGGGGATCTGTAAAGGAGCGTCCAGTTACATCACGCACGTCGACTGGGATGCTCGAGGTAACAGCGCATATCTGAAACATGTGGTTCACTGCGCAGAGTGATGCACATTCAGATGCTCACATCTTCGTTTAACACCTGGACGTACCTGCAGGAGTTATGGAGTCAATCGTGGTCCAGTTTGAAAACAAACAAAAAGTGACAAACATTGATACTGCAGGACACAAACACTGAGAATGGACTTTCATTGAAGTAGGAGCATAGACTGTTTCAAAAGACAGGAGACACCTCGGGTCGAACTTTTAAATTGAGCATGTCTTAAAAACATGTCTGGTGGAGCTCTTTAAATAGCACTTTATCACCACATGTTTTCTATAAAAGGTGTGTTAAGGGGTTAATAATCAGAGAGGATTAAAGTCAGACTGAGTAACTTTTTTTAAACAGTGACCTCCGTCGCTACAAGTGACGATTATGGGATGACAGTAAATGTTAAAATGAAGTGTAACAGTAGAACAAGTGGAGGTCCTAAAGCCAGCGGAGTGACTCACTAATGTCATATTTAAAGTTCACAAATTCAACTTTTTATTTTCATTTCAAAAGTGTGTGTGTTTTGCAGGTAAACTACTGCAGGTGAACACAGGAGCCAAAGAGCAACTTTTCTTCGAAGCCCCGAGAGGAAAAAGACAAACCATCAGAAACACTGAGGTCAGTGTGTGCCTTTGGGTGTGGACACTGTGTCAGGATTGGCGGAGGTGTGGACCCAAATGCAGACGTAGGCGAGGAGGATGCAGTTTAAACAAAGATTTATTTACTAAAAGACAAACAGGCTAACGCTGGGAGCTCAGCGGCTAAAGTTCAAACAGAAAGTGGCTCCAAAGCAAAAAACATAAATCTGGGAAGAAATCCAAAAACAAGAACAAAAAGGGAATCCAAGGCACAAATCCACAAAACTCAGGGAATAATCCAGAATACCAGGAAACAAGGTACAAGGCAGGACACTCAACTTTGACGCAGACAATACAAGGACGTGACAAAGACTGAAGAAAACTGGGGACAATATATATACAGGTAAACGAGCAGGGAGGGAACCACAGCTGAGACGCATCAGGTAATCAGACAAAGCTAGACAAGGACACCAGGTGCAGAAGGTTACCAAAGGAAGTAAAGTTCACAGGAACACACAAAGACAGATCTACAGATCTAAGTAAAACACAAAAACATGAAAAAGACAGCAAAATCAGGACACAGACAGAGACAGGACCAAACAGGAGACAAGACTGCCCTAAAACATGGAGATAAGACTAAGGACTAAGACAGACCATAATGAGAAAATACAGAAATACACCGATAAGGAAAACACTAAACATGAACTAAAGCACAGGAACAAGAACTAAGATGAGAGATAAGACAGTTACAAAGAAAACTTAACGCGAATGAGCCAAAATAATAACCTAGACTACAAAACTCCAAACCATGACAATATAAAATAAACACAGGAAAAACAACAGCACAAAACCAAATCCCAACACACTGTTCCTCCATCTACATTCTACTGTCCTTTGTTATTATCATCTTTAACTTAGGCTTTTTCTGAGGATGTCTGCAGGACATACTTTAGGTTTATGACACTTGAATAAAAAATATTCATTCATGTATCACCACTGGCACAGTAGGAGGAGATGCTTAGAACTAATGTGTATGTGTATATCAAGTTTCTTAATCTCTGTCCGTCTCCATCTTATTGTTGTTATTGTGTGTGTTTGTAGCTGGAGCGGATCGAGTGGTCCAGCTGGACGTGTGTTCTGGGTTCGAGCTGTGAGGGAATCTGGCCGACGCACAGCGACATCACCGACATCAACGCCACGTCGCTCACCAGAGACCGAGCGCTGCTCGCCACCGGGGACGACTTCGGCTTCCTCAAACTGTTCAGCTACCCGGTTCGAGTACGACAGACGGAGTCACTGGTCACTGTGTAGATTCACAACATTTAAGATGAGATGAACACGAGATTAACATGGGTGATGTCGAGAAAAAATATTTTATCTTCAAAGCTCAGCGATAGAAAAATGTGTAGACATTATTTAACTTGATGGAAAATACTTTATTTCTTTCTTTACTTCCTTATTTTGCCTCCCTTCTTTTTCTTCTTTCCTTATTTATTACTTTGCTCCATCATCACACTCCTCTTTCTTTGTTCTAACTTCTTTTTTCCCTTCTTCATAAGTAATTATTTTCTTAATCTTATTTCTTCTCTCTTTTTTACTTGTTTCTTTAAGCTGTTGAAAACCTCCAGCTATTTGCCCCCATTTCCAGGAAAAACGCCTAACGCCTGGTCTCCTTTGATAGGTCAGAAGCTAAGGAATTTGAACCAACTAAATTAAATTAACCTTTTTATTTTGCTAATAAAAAGTAAATGGAGATAGAATAAAGGAAAATATGATATTGTCATCTTCGCCTGGTATAAAATCTAAATTATAATAGCAATACTGCCATCAAAACCATCATCCTGTAGATAATAATTCAACTAAATATCTTCTAATACACCTGGAATACAACTGTAACTGTAAATCTGATGAAAAGAAACTAATATACAACAGGTATTACACAATTTTTCATAAATACACCAGGCGAATGTCCATGTTTTGGCCATATTTACTGTTTATATGTTCACTTTTATTGGGAGTTTTCTTCAAAACACTATTTCTGTCCATACAGCCACGATCCAAATAATGTAAAGCTTCCAAAACATTAAAGTATTGATAAAAACAGAATACTGATCAACATTCTCATGACCAAAAAGCAATCCCATGCTGTACAGACCCACAACTTGAGAATAGAACATGCAACAGGTTAATACATTATTCCTTCTTGATTGAAAGTAAAGTCTTCCTTTTTCCTTCTTTGCTCTCATTTTTTCTGCATTTTCTTCCTCGTTGCTTTCCTTCTTCCATCGCCTCCTACTCTTAATTCCATATTTCCTTCTAGTCTTCATTCTTTCTGTCCTCCTTTTGCCTCTTATTTCTTTCTTTCCTTTTCTTTCTTTCTTCTTGTTTGTTTCTTTAATCCATTATTTCTTTCCTTGTTGATTAATTATCCTTCCTTCCTTTTCATTATTTCTGTATTTCCTTCCGCTTTCCTTCTGTCTTTACTTGCCTCTTCTTTCCTTTCTTTCCTTCTTCAACCAGACATAAAAATCTCACCCAACAGCAAAACTAATCTCCTCTCATCCCGAGGTGGAGTACTTTCACCGTAAATACCTGGAGAATGATACGCGCTTAATCTTCAATCAAATTTGGATGCCGGACTTTTAATTTACTGCAGTGTTTTTTCACTGTTGTTTCATAAAATCTGCCACTGGTGTGAATGCGTCAACAGGTGTATTTCTTTCCTCCTCCTCCCGCCAGGGTCAGTACGCTCGTTTTAAGCATTATGTGGGCCACAGCGCGCAGGTGACCAACGTCCGCTGGGCTCAGGACGACTCCACCCTGCTGACGGTGGGCGGGGCCGACACCGCCCTGATGATCTGGGCGAGGGAGCGAGGAAGTGGGTTCGGTGGAGAGGGGGAGGGGCCTTTGTGTCGAGACAACCGACCGCTCGTGGACAGCGAGGAGTCGGATGACGACATTGAGGAGGACGGAGGTGGGTGTGTCCGTGTTTTTATTAAAAAGTTTCTCTGCTCTTGACGGACTTCTGCAAAACTGAGACCTGAACCCGGCCCGGACATTGTGTATTTACATGCAACACACGACACACATCGATGGAGACGACTGGCAGAGTCAGACAGCAAAAGAGAAAGAGTTTATTTTATTATTAAGTTAAATTTGATAAGAAGCCTAAAGCTTTACGCAGTCAGGTTGCACAATTCTAATTTATACTGTAAATATGTGTGTGTGCCTGTCTGAAGGCTACGATAGTGACGTTGCCCGGGAGAAGACGGTGGATTACACCACTAAGATGTACGCTGCCAGCCTCAGAGAGATGAGAGGAACCAAACCTCACCAACAGCTGAAGGAGCTGTCTGCCGAGGAGAGGTATGCACACACACACACACACACACACACACACACACACACACACACACACACACACACACATTATGTTTCCATCACTTACACTGACTTACGGTCATTTCCTGAAGACTTAACCTAACCTTCAACCAAGTCTTCTCAAATGTAATGATCCCCAAACGGAAGGCGAGTCCTCACAATGTGACTGTGTAAACAGATTTATGTACCCACAGAATGAGTAACACACACACACACACACACACACACACACACACACACACGTGTCAACCTGTTGTTCTGCATTCAAAGTTTAAAGCTGCACCAGACAGCTTTTTGTGTAGGCGCCCCCTGTGGCAGGTGTGAAGGTGGGATCCCATTATACTTTATATCGACTTCAGTTCACACGTGTGAGGATGGTGGAGAAACATAAATTTAATTCTCATATAAAAATAATGGCAGAGTCTTAAATAATAATAGTAAAAATCAGCAGAATAGAGAGTATAACTCTGTTGTGCTGATGCTGATGGAGTTAGTGCTGTAGAAATGGACATCATGCTGAATGTAGTAAGCAACAGGAAATTTGAGTCTCTAATAGAAGCCTTTCACAAATAAAGGCCTTTCTGGGAATTTACGTTATCAGCATCTGTTTTCATTTGTTCTTGAGACTTGATGACCTTTGACGTCAGGTAATGGTGAGAAAAGATTGCCACTGTGTAAATCCAGTGAGCCTTATTATATTCAGGCAGCTTCCAGGTGAGTGTGAACAGGGCGGTCATGAAAAAGAAGGCATTGCTTTCAGGAAATCTTCCCTAAACAAGCTCCTTACCATTATGCATTATGTTGTTAACAATGGGAGGCCCTGGAATTTAAGCTAACATCTCTGACGTAAACCAGGAGTCCTGTTTCTCTGACAGATTTATAGTTATCCTCCTGTCAGTGTTCTTGTAATGCATGTTATCTGATAAATTCTGTAAAATATAACTTTTTTAAAGAGGGTGAAGAAAAGTTTGCTTGCTGGCTGTGTTCATGATTAGCTTAGGAGAACAAATCTGATGATGGCCCTTCATTTTACTTTACTGTAAACACATTTGAAAAATGTATTTTAGGGAAATATATTCCTCATCCTTTAAGCTTTGTGAGTAAAACATTAAATACTTCCATTAAAGCTGAATCCCACATTTATGTATCTATCTAGATTTCAAATACAGCTAATTCCTTCATTTATCAGTCACACAGACTCTACTGTCAGGCTCTTGGAAGCAGCCGGGATGGTTTTCTCTGGTAGTTTGCATTCTCCAGACTTGTCTTTTTGAGCTCATGGTGCAGCTTTAAACTTAGTAAACCTTCACCATATACAAAACAAAGCTTTAGAAACAGACTGTGTGCTGCTGTATTTGACATTCAGCGTTGTTTCTCTTTGATTTATGCTTTTTTGACTTGATGACTGAGACTGTGTGAACAACCTGAGTTGAATCTTTTATCAGACCTTTTATGAACAGTTTCGTCCTATGATGGGTGTGTCATCAGTTGTCACAGCATCTGTGTGTTCCCAGTGTGTGAATGCGTGTTAAAGTGTGGCCCTCTATACTTAAAATGGTGTGAGCGCACAGTATGTACCTGTGTATTTGTTTTAAACAAAAGGCTTTCGCATCTCATGCATGCACTGGCTTCTGCTCGATGGATGAATCTTGTTTTGTCCCTTCATGTCAGTTTGCTGTGTGTTTCCACGTTGCACATGCTAACAGATTATCATAACTTAAGTGTCATTGAGTTTCTGTCTTCAAAGCACCTTAAAGGAACAAATTCATTCTACACGGTAAAGTTGTCATAAATCTTAAAACTGAAGTCTAATCTTACAAAACATGATTACCAACCAAATTCTAAAACACATAAATCACTAGTAAATACTTCCATGCCGTTTACTGACTTTTAAACTCAGAGCGCCGTAGCCATATTTTGGCAAAACCACAAGATTTGTTTTTTTAAAAGGGGAAGAAGCAGTGCAGACACAAAATTCTGCCTTTTCCGCTGCAGGGACTTAAAGTTGGGGCACATAACGTCAGAGAAAATTGCAAAAGAAAGCTAAGTATCCAACTGAAAAAAAATCCCACTCCCTCCCTTAAGGCCTCCCTTCAAAGCCACTCCCACAAAACACATGTTCATGTGCAATGAACGTAGACCGAAATAAATTATTGGCCGTGCCTTTTACAGTCCCATTTTTGTGTCAGAGCGTTTGGTTTAATGATTGCTGTCAGGATGTACAGAGAATTTCAACAGATATAACAAAAGATGCTTCTGAAATAAATTGCTTACCAAAGTTTTAGTGACCTCTAACTTCAGGTGTTTCTGTCTGCGCAGGGTTTGCTTTTGTTTCCACATTGGGGGCGAATTTATGAACATAAATTTCAGGTGATACTAAATCTAAGTTGCAGGTACACTTGTGGGAAAGGACAATAACCAGGACCACAAGGAAGTTTAATCCCTCAATATAAATCCAGTAATGTGACTGCAACATGTAATCTGTGTAAACTGTAGATTGCTGGACAGTGTTGGAGATTACCTTAAAAATTGAATTGTGTTTACAAGTAACTTTCGGGTAGTGTTGGTTTAGAATCGTAACAATTTAATTGGTGGGGCAGCACAATATATTTTTTCTTGAAGCTAAGCTAAGAAATGATTTTCTTTTCTTCAGAGCAGCGCCAACTCTACTAATTTAACATGGCTGACATTTAAAAGTAATCACATGTAAATCTAAAAGAAAATTTATATTGGCGCCACTTTCTCCATAGTTGTTTGTCCCACAACTAAACTGCACACTCACTGACCTCGCATACAGTAACATTACATTTACAACAACAATTACATTTGTCCCGGTATTGCTGTACTTGTGTCACCTTTTCAATGACGTATATCTAAAACATTCTGGCGTAAAATAAAGTAAAACCTAAAAGGTTACAGTTTAGGTAAGTTCCTGTTGTGGAAAAGGCCTAAAGGTGTCAAATAAGTACATTAAGTACCCTCGTGTGGTTCTAACCCAAAGGCACTTGTTTTTGTCTGTTTGTGGTACCCTTACTTTCTAAATGTTGGCTGCTCTCTGGCCTTGCTTGTAGAAACTCTTAATATCTGTGTTGTGTTTTAACTTGCATTCCCCTGGAGGCAGGGCATTGTCAAGTAAGTATGACCTGATACTCGCTGTGTAGATAGTTTGTGAGTTAATCTTGGAAAATAAGAACCTGTAGTTTCTTTATCCAAAATCCGGATTTGATTATTCTCATTGTGAACCTGTCACTTCATGCATTCTCTGCCTTATATTTATCCCAGTATTTTATCTGAGAGTTCAGGAAATCATTCCCAGGATAAAAACAAAGCTAGCAGTTTTATATTTCCCGAAAGATTTTATGAGAATTTAGTTTCTTGAATTAAAAAAAGTTGTTGTTTAACAATTATTTGAAGTGTTGTGTAGTGGAGGTTTGGAAGATTGCTTAGAAATGAAAAGTACTAAACTACCATCTTGCCCCCTTAACCACCAAAACCTGTCCAGACTTTGACAGTGCTGAGAAAACTACAGAACCAACAGGTGTGGATCACTTCTAGAAATAAGAACAGCTTTAAAATGACACCTTCATAAAACTTTAGCCTGCATAATTAGCATTGATTTCAATTAATTTTACCATTCTCCTCATTGCTTGTTGTCCGAACAAAGTGCTTCTGTACAGTATATTATAATGTCTCTGTTATATTATGCTAGGTTTCTTTGTTTCACGTCTCTATTTCACTTATCCTCACGTTCCTTATCATCCTTTACTTCCCCCTCTTATAAAACCCAGTTTTTCCCTCCTCTCTCTCTCCTCCTGTGTCTCTTTCTCCTCTTTCTGACCCTCCTTCCCATCATCTTCGTGTTATCATCCCTCCACAGCCTGCTTTCTGTCCTGCACTGTTGTCATCCCACTCAAACAGGTTTCCGAATAGAAGTATCTTCGGTAGCTCCATTTGGTAGGGATTAACATTGCAGAGGGAGGTGGGGAATTAAATATTCACTGTGCTCCTCTGTAATTTCACTCATCTTTTAGGACGATGTACTTAACACGTCTCGAGCATATCATTATCTCTCGTGTCCATCTAAACGCCCATCAGTCCACTTAGAAATAAGAGTATAAAAGTTGCTTCAAAACTTCCCTGAGAATCATCATGTTCATCCAGTTATAGTTGTCTGTCCATCCATGAATACACTGCAAGCAGGAGCTGCTAATTTGCCAACATATAAACATATATAGCCTAAAAACAGAGCTCAAAAGAGAAAACCAGTAGCCTTACCTACATGTAGCTGACATTACCACAGCACTGAATGAGCTCTTGCTTTCGGCTATAATTATGACATCATCAGGGTGCAATTTATGGAAAAAACATGGGGGTGTTTTGAAACGTTTTTATTAATAAATCACATTGTTTTATTTTGTAGGCTACTTTTTTTCTTATTTAAGTTGTCAAGTAGCCTAGTGCAATATTTTTACTTTCCTCATGTGGACACTATAGGGGCTCTGATCAGAATTAAATCCCCTTTCCAATACTATGGATAGAAGTGGTGCAACGGATTGTACGCTTTCGCCTCCACTGAGTGAAACCACATACAGTAGCTGTGTCTTTTGGCATGTTCAGTGGCGAACCAATGAAGCTGGGCTGACAGATCATCAGATTGTGATTGTTTATTCAGGCTTCACTAATCCAAGTTCCCTTCAACACCCAGCTCCACTGTTCACTAGGGCTTTTATTTGTGACGTGTAACCAATCTGATCAAGTCTACGTAGTGGTTAAAAAAACCCCCATCAGAGCCACAGTAGGGCATTTTAAAATAAATGTTACCCTAACAAAATGGATCAATTCGAACTGTGAATTTTGTGATCTGCTGCACCACTAGTGAAGTGGCATTGATCACTTTGAGGGGGGATAAAAATAATTGAGCAGAGGCTGGGATACATAGACCAGACCAGACATCCCATGGCAAATCGCACCCCGGTCGTCACATTGGTTCCCAAATTGACCTATATGCTGTTTCCATCAGATTAGCGAAAACATTTTGGATCCTCTCCATTTTCAGACTGAGCTGATAAAAATAAACTGCAGTAGATGGACAAGCAGCTCCAACGCATTCTCATCTCAGAAGAAACGTCCATAAATCCACTAAACATAACTTAAGAACTTGCCTGAAAATAATCGTGTTTTAATCCAGCTACCCCACAACTAACTAACTGACACAGTGACAACATTATACTTCCTGTTTATGTCTTTCAAAGCATTATGGGAACTGCAGTTCTAAAAACATGATGTGGTTGTCTAAACGTGGGGCCACACTGTCAGAAATTAGCTGATAAAAGTTCCCTGCAGCAGGTACAAAGACATGCAGTGAACAACATGTGCTCATCTCGCCTGAGTTTGTCCTCCAGCCTAAACTTGCATGTTAGCCCATTAACACAATTAGCTCTGCTAGCATGTTAGCCTGACAGCCCGAAAATACAAACAAGCACTGGTAGCATGCGAGCATTTTGTTAGCATGTAAATATAGCCAGAGCAAATCAGATTATGGTTCCTCTGAGGCATGAGGCCTTTATTCGTGTGTGTGAGTGTGTTGCTGTGTTCGTATGCGTAGAGGGGCTTCTGTGTGTGTCTGTGTGTGTGTGTGTGTGTGTGTGTGTGTGTGTGTGTGTTTGGGACCTACATGTGAGTGAGTGTGTGTGTTTTCTAAAGATCTGTACCTTGGTTCTGTCCCTCTGCTGTCCAGGGGATCCAGGTAACACCTACCCACCTGTCTGTTCACCTGTCTGTCTGTTAGTGTTTGTTAAAGCTGTGCCTCTTCATTATGTGTGTGTGTGTGTGTGTGTCTTAGGGTGACCAGACACCCCGACGTTTGGTGGCCTGTCCCCGTGTCTGGAGCTGTCATTGGAAATGTCCCTGTTTTTTACTGCGTGTTAATCATAGACTATATAAAGTGTTAACAGACCTGAAATCAGATTTCATGTGGCCAGAAAGACTGGATAGCGTCCGCGGGAGCGCGCGCAGCATGTTAAAGCTGTGTCGCCCAGTTTCTTTAGCACTTTCTGCAGCTGCTTTTATCTGGATCAAACAGACATAACGTGCAAATAAACATCACTTTATGTCGGTGGTAACAGCAAAGATATGTCTTTGTGAAACTTTGCCGTTTCTTTTAACAGAATAATCACCATTGTGGCCAAATAAGTGTTTGCAGTTTATAGCGTAACCAGGCATGACATTTACGTGATTATAGGCAATAATAAAAGCCTGTTGTTGCCAATGGATTATGTTTTTGGTAGGCATATTTGTCTAATATCCTTGCTTATATTTGGAAAACAGACTTTAGCCTATAACTAACATGACTTACTGCTGAGTTATATGTCAAATAAAGACATGATCTCTTGCAATTATCCTTATCATCATTTAACTTTCTGTGTACCAACCAATCCAGTCCTTTTTACCTGTTGAAATACCTTTAATTGATTTCATCCAGAAGTTATTTTTGACAGGTTATAACTCAACTACTTTTTACCTCTTAAAATATCTTTAAATGGCCAAAACAACACATAAAATGCAGTATTCTACTTGCCAGAAAGTGATTGTAGCCTCTACTTATTGACTGAAAGGTAGTTTCTGTTTCAAAATGACTTGATTTTATTCAGAAGAGTTTTATTTGACAGATTATAAAACCTAAATTGTCCCCCCTTTTCATATATAATAACATTATATTTTTTAATGACATACCACCAAACCAAAAATGTTGCCGGTTTTCATTTCAGAAATCTGGTCACCTTAGTGTGTGTGTTTGTGTGTGGGTGCCTCACACCGTCTTTGGTTTGTTTTCTAGATTTATATTAGAATTTTACATCTGAGCGGTATTAATCTGGATTTTATCATTAAAGGGTTTTTATTTTAAATGGTTATAATGTTGGTTACAGTTATAGTTTGTAGTTTTTGCATAGTAATAACAGTTTTTAAAGTCACACCCTTGTTTTTATGTTATTTTTTGTTAATGTAAAAGTACTAACTCAAGTCTTACTAATACTATATATTAATACTATAACTACTATTTGCATTTGTTAATATTACAACACTACTGTTACTATATGTCTAACTACTAATTTGACTACTAATAATACTATTATTGTGCACTGCTACTACTACCACATATACTTACCACACTAGTACTACTGTTATTATTTGAAGTACCATACTAAAGCTGCGATTTGTTTTATTGCTAGTACTACTGCTACTGCGATCAGTATTTCCATTGTTACAACTATATTACAGTATACTTTTAATAAAGCTTACTTTTACTACTGTTTCTACTATTACTTATATTTTTTCTCTTACAGTTCTTACCATTACTGATAACACTATTACCACACTAGTACTGCTACTAATACTTCTCGCACTATTACTTCTTTCATAACACACTAGTATATTGTGATTGCTACCTTACTACTACTACTACTACTACTACTACTACTACTACTATGAACCTGACAACCTTTCTACTATTGCCAATAAGCTAGTATTACTTACTTACTTCTACTGCTAGTACTCAATTTACTCTTACTTTACCTAATACAAATGTCAGTACTGTTATGAGTGTTAGCATTACTATTGTTTGTTTTACTACTACTATGACTACTACTACTACACTAATACTGTATTACCACTACTACTATTATAATTACAACCGTTGCTAATGCTTGCCTCATTACTATACTTTTACACTTACTACCACCACTACCAGAGCTATTACTTCTGCTAGTATTCCCACTGGTATTAGTAAAGCTACTACTCTTGTTGTTACTAATTACTAGTAAGTAAATAATATTTCTACCACTGCCAATACTTCAACTATTCCTACTATCATTACTGCTAAGTACTATAAAACTACCACTATAACAGTGTCAACGTGTTGTTACTTCTACTATTATACTATTATAACTGCTACTGTTACAATGACTCATATCACTATAACTATTATTACTTGTATTACAGCTAATTTTGTTTTTACTACTAATACTTACAACTTATTAGGTGTACTCAGTAGTCCTAGCACCTGTATTTTAGGGATTGAGACACATGTGGCTGACCTGTCCGTCTCTACAGTCTCTTGTCTGTCCTACCTGTCTGTCAGTACTGTTTGTGTCTGACCATGCTGTCTTTCTGACCGTTCCTCCACCTGTCTGTCTCTGCTGTCTGTCCTCCCGAGATCAGCACAGTGAGATAATGTGACTCCTCCAGTGATTAATTGATTAATAGACTGATTGATCCTCCAGGCCTCCAGTGAGTCGAGCAGCGCCACAGCCAGAGAAACTTCAGAAGAACAACGTCTCCAAGAAGAAGAGACTGGTCGAGGTATGACTGTGTCTCAGTCTGTCTGCCATCCTGTTTATCTTATGAGGGGCCGTACAAGCCATAATTCATTATGGCCATTTCACATAAAAACATTCTCCTTTTTGCACATCAAACATTTTCCTCCTTAAATCTTTATTGCAAAAAGAGGTATAAAGTGTATATGGGACATAAAGAAGTATACAAAACAGTATACAAATAATATTTTGTATAGAAAGGTACAAAACATTTATGAATGTGGAATTTCTCCATTAGAAATAATACATTTATCATAGTACGCATTTTCTTTTCCTTGACTTTAGTAAAAGCAAAATACGGGTGGTTGTGGCTCGGGTGGTAGAGCGGGTTGACCGTTAATTGAAAGGTCGGCGGTTCAATCCCCGGCTCCTCCAGGCTGCATGTCGAAGTGTCCTTGGGCAAGATTGACCCTGTGTCACACACATTCAGTGTATGAACTGAATGTGTGTGAACTTAGAGTGAGATTCTATATCCAGATGTCAATCACGCTGTCCATGCACCATCCCCTCGGACCTGACTCAAACTTCTCAGCCAACCACTGCACCGTTTCACACATCCATCCATTCTTCTCTTACATGCCTACAGAATTTATGAATGTGTGGGTGAAAATATATAAATATGAGAATAAAAATGTGTTGGTGTAAGAATAAAAATATATGTATGTGAAAGGCGAATGTAAGTATATGAGGGGGCAGGATGAATTATGGCTTGTATGGCCCCTTATATTATCTCTCTCTGCTGTCTCCTTCCTCTGTAGGACCTGGTTTTAGATCATGTGTTTGGTTTTCGGGGCTTCGATTGTCGTAACAACCTGCACTACCTCAACGATGGCACCGACATCGTCTACCACACTGCCGCCACCTGCATCGTGCACAGTCTCAGCAACGGTAATCACAGCGACATGCAAGAAAACCCCACAGGGAAGCTTTAAGTTGTTAACATCTAAAGCTTTCACCAATTATAACTAAATTATCTGATGTTCCTTTATTAGCAGATTTCATTTTTCACACAACATAAATATTTTATAATTAATCTAATGCACAATAATCGTCTAAATTACCTGCAAAATAAAATCGATGTCATGGAAATTTGTACTGATGGTGTTTAATATCTAATTGTTTAAACCTCATGCAGTCATTTTATGGAATGACAGTTGTTTATTTCCCAAAAACGTCCATATTACAATCTTGCATTGTTTAATAGTGGAACTACATAAAAATGTATATTATTATCATAACATTAGTAGCTGATCAGCCGCTGTGAAGGATAACTGGGATAATTAGCAGAAGCTACAGAGGTGCAGTACCAACCCTGTACCTTTTACTGTAAAAGTTGTGAGATATTTGCTAAACTGCTGACACTGTGGTCACAAGCAACACAGGTCAACCTACAAAACATGACAAGAAGTCAAGATATCGCATGTTGTTGTACGTTGCTGGGAAAAATGAGGTGAATATGTGATCCTATTTAAGAGAAGGAGAACTGAGAACTAAGAATTTCAAAAAAACAGACACAGTTGCTGCAGTGGGAATCAAACCTTTGCCCTTTTAGTGTTCATGTGTCTTCTTGTGCTGCAGGAACTCAGAGTTTCTACCTGGAGCACACTGATGACATCCTCTCTCTGACCGCCAACCAGCACCCGAAATACAAAAATATCATCGCCTCTGGACAGATCGGTACACTGAGCGTGTGTGCTGTGTGTGTATGAGTGAGACTTTGTTTCTGCATGGCAGTGTGTTTCCTTACTAACTCGTCTTTACTAAATAAGTCCTGCTTTTCTCTCCTCTGCTTCATGTTTAACCAGCTTGCTTTACTTTTTTTCCACTGAGCTAATAGAAACAGACTGCTAACACAAACAAGGAGGAAGCTTTGTCCAAGTAAACACCACAATCAGCAGATGTACAGGCCATGTTTAGAAGAAAAAACATGCTTTGTGAATTTTTAGCTGACTTTAGTTGACTTTTCCACGTCATCTAGATTTATATTTAATTTCATCCTTCTCATGTGAGACTTATTGTATAAAAAATCAACAGTGATATTTATTTAAGTAAATATACTCACTAAAACACACAAGAAAAAGACCTGTATTGAAAATGTTACTTAAGTATGTCAGTATGAACAGGAAAATGTACTCAAAGCACTAAAATGTATATATTTGTATATATCATGAGTTAATTATTCCTTATGCATTAATGTAAAGAAGGATTTTACTGCTGTTGAGCTGGAACTCATTTTGAAATACTTGGTATCGGACTGCAACTATTGATTATTTCTATTATGGATTAAGCTGCTGATTATTTTCTCCATTAATAGATTGGTTGTTTGGTTTGTAAAAATTACATTACAGTTACTCACATCATTCAAAGGAAAAGCAGCAAATCTTCACGTGAGAAGCTAAATCCATCTAATGTTCGAAATTATTTCAACTATCAAAAGAGTTGCAATTAATCTCCTGTCAATCAACTAATTTTGTAATCGTTTTTAGCTAGACGTGTAGAAACAATTGGGAAGTTTAATAACAAAAAATCATATTTTTGTAAAAATCTTCGTTTGTAAAGTAACTAAAGCTGTCAGATTGATGAAGCAAAGTAAAAAGTACAATATTTCCCTCTGAGATGTAGGGGAGTAAAAGCAGAACATGGCATGAAAAGAAAATACTCACGGTACAAGTAACTCGCATTTTAAGTACATTAATTGAGTAAATGTATTTAGCAACATTTATGAGCCCCATAGGTAATAATTAGGGCTTTTTTTCAGCATCCTGTTCCTGGTTCACTCTTTTGGTGGCAGTGATAAGTGTTTATTTAGCAGCTCTTGAAACTTACTGGATTTTCACCATTTTGTTTTGAATGTACATTAACAATCAAAAAATTGTTTTGAGATACTGGAGGGAGGGTACAATCAATCTAAAGGTGGCGTTTTCAGCAGGCTGCTGTTTTCAGAGGAAAACTGTTCACAACTTGTCCCTGCTGCCCCCAAGTGGCCAGAAAAATCTGTTACAGCGGGTTTAAGCCTCACCACTTCACTTGTAGCCTGATTTTACCAGCAAGTCCACTATAAACATCTCTCTACTGTCAAAACTGACGTTAGACTGTTTGAAACAACTCACTAGAGGTTTTTATCTGTTTTTTTTATTTGTTTGTTTTGTTTTTCTGTGTGTGTTTTGGCTGGCCTCATTTGTCACCATCGCTCTCACAACACCACAGGTGACGTCAGTGAACTCCCAGGTAATAACCAAACCGCACCGCCTTTCCCACCACAACAAACACCCTGAAACCCAGAGACAGCCTGCAAAATTAGTCCATTATGACTTTCAGCAGTAACTCAGGAGTACTGTCTTTGTGTCAAAAACATTAAAGCAATGCATTTGGTTGTATTCCTATATCCAGCTGTCTCCTTAGCATATATCAGAAAATGTGGCTCCATCAACTTTTAGAATGAATTAATTTCTTCCACGCGAAGACAATGAAACACTATCATCATTCTCATTTATACTTTTATCAAAACTGTGTTGTTTTCTTGTTGTAAGACAGCTGAGAACCGGGATTGTGCATTCAAGTGCTTGTGGGAAAATCTACATTGGAGACTCCACACAGAAAACTTACCAATGGGAATGTAGAAATTTACAGTAATAACCTGCTCTCTGTGCATTTAATACAATTATCTATAGGGGAAGTTTACGATCATATAAATTACAATTATAAATTCTTCAATATTTTGTAGTAATGCAAGAAGCCTCCAAATTCACATGACCTATTGTCTGTCTTCTTATTTTCATTTTCTGACAGCCAACTCTAAACTCTAGCGCTTCAGTACTTTGTGCTGACGTTGATCTGGTTCTCAGGGTGTTTGTGGGCTGCATTGATCCCTCTAACTGCTCCGTTTTTGTGACTTCCTGTCATCCTTGTGACATAATAAAACCTCAGTTTATATCCTCTCTCCTCCTGTTTCATAATCTTTCTGCAGGCACCACTCCCTCGATCCATGTGTGGGATGCGATGAGTAAACAGACGCTGTCCATCCTTCGCTGTCCTCACACCAAAGGCGTCGGCTACGTTAACTTCAGCGCCACAGGGAAGCTGCTGCTGTCTGTCGGAGTGGAACCTGAACACACCATCACTGTGTGGCGCTGGCAAGAAGGTCAGACTGACATCTGATCAATAACCACTAAAACACACGCACATTAATACAGATTAATACGGAAAGAAAATTGAGTAAAAATAAAAGTTGTGTCTTGTGTCAGGATCCAAGGTGTGCAGTAAAGCTGGACACCCGGACCGGATCTTCGTGGTGGAGTTTCGTCCAGACTCGGACACCCAGTTCGTGTCGGTAGGAATCAAACATGTGAAGTTCTGGACTCTAGCCGGAGGCGCTCTGATGTACAAGAAGGGCGTGGTAGGAACGGTGGAGGACGGCAGGATGCAGACAATGCTGTCTGTCGCCTTCGGTGCTGTGAGTTCACTGCTGACTTATTGTTGTGTTGTTAATGTTGTTCTAATCTCAAGAATCAAGATTAACTTTATTGTCCCACAAAGTAGAAAATCTGGCTTGGGCTTTTACCGATGCTGCAACCGTAAAAACAGATCAAACATTCAACATATAAAAAGGTGCATAAATCCTAAAACCTACAGCAAGGCTCCTAAAAGCACCCGTATGCAAACAGAGACACCTCAATAATAGCAAAGATCTGCTAAAATACTTTCAACAAAAGCTTTCCTTATCTGCTGCTGTTTAAAAGTTTAATAGACACTGGAATAAATACATTTTTAAATGTATATGTAAATACATTCTCTGAATAGTAGTCAGAAAGCTCGTTGGCCTTTTTTATTAAAGCTAAGTCTGCAGAATCGTCTGAGAATTTAATATATAATTGTTAGGGTTAATGGCTTCTACACTCTTTGGGTTTAGGGTAAAAAGGACAGGTGAGAGTACCATTAACACTGACTGAATTTAGTATCAGGACAGGAGGTCTCCACTTACGTCACATGATACGGGACATGACTCCAACTAAACAAGCCCACAAACAAAAAGAAGAAAATGCAAATCAAAATTTTAAATTATATTCATCCCAGTAAATAATCAAATCGAAGAGCAACACCATGGTTTTAATACATTTGAACAATCTGCATGTATAGCTTAGAAAAAGAAAACATCTCTATTGAAGGAAAACAAGAGTTATTTAAAAAAATCTATGGGGTCATTTTATTAATATTATATAAATATCTTGAAAATACAAACTTGGAAGCAGCAGAGCGAATTTAGAAATGATTGAAATGCTAGGAGAAACATTTTTTCATATTTCTTTCTATTAATTAATGAATAAATATGTATTTTATTTTTTATTGAATGTATATTGATAGTTACGTATCATTTTCTTGTTACAGTACATTATAAGTACATTATATTTCAAAATAAAATCATACAATGCAAATGTGCAAAACTGACAAATTGTGTTATTAGTTACAAGCAAACTTGTTGTGTATGCTGTCACAGAAACTTCAGCAGTAAATTTTAACTATAAACTGTGTGGAATTACATTTTACACTTTAATGAGCTGTGACTTTTAACAGTTCTGGCTAAATCTGTCCCCACACTCAGAGCAGCTAAAAGCCGTCGGCGGAGTGTTTACTCAGATGCTCTGACCTCTTCCTAATAATCATCGCTGTTTTCAGTATCAGAGGAGTCTGAGGCCTCGTCATGTGCATCTGCTTGAATTTGTGGATTACTGGCTGGTTCTGGTCTTCCACAGTCCTCTCCCTCAGCTTCTGTTTCCATATGTTGAGGTGAGCTGCTGGCCTCTCTGCTCTGCTCAGTGTGGCTCAGATGAAGCTGTAAGGACTGAGGTTTCTCTTCACCAACTTCACTCCTCACTCGGACCGGAGGGACTGTGAACTCGGTGGTATCAGCACGCTCGGCTCCTTGAAAGCACTGTCCTTCCAGACTGGTCCAGGATTCCTCCTTTTCCTCTTTAATCCATGGGTTCTTCTGGTCCAGACAGGGGCTCAACTCAGAGGGAACATCTGAAGGGAAAAGTTAAACATACGCACAAATATTAAAGACAACTGCAACTTTATTCTGACACTGATGATCAGTGGTACCATTACTAAACGTCAGTGTGATCCCTGATGATTCCTTTGCTTCAGTAGGTTTGGTTGTGTCCACAACGTCTATGACAAAACATTAGTTTACAACCAGTTTTTAAATAAAACGTAACAATAATGTGAACAACAGTTCCCTCAGGCCTCAGATGAGACAACCAGGAGCACTAACGAACCATTGGTATCGATCATCTTGACAACGAGCCCACAGAGGTTAAATAGCTGAGGTTCCCTTCAGTCAGTCAGAACTGAAGAAGTCTCTTGGATGAGGGATAAAATGTCTTTGACTATCTTCAACCAGTTGCCCTTGATTTTAACCCTCCTTAGATAACTATGACCTAGATGACCTTCACAGACTTCAAGGGACCAAACCTTATGGTTCCTTTTTTTAAAGCAAGGCCCCTTTCCAGTATGATTCATATTTTCTTTGGACCCTTGCCTTCATTTAGAAAAATACTTAAGCTCATCCTCAGCACTGCTCCACTGAATATAGTTTTAATTTTTAATTTTATTTATTTATTTAAAAGGGAAAGTGCATATCAATGGTCATCTTAGCTTTTCAGCAATGTAAATATGCCAGAATTAACCCGAGGGCTATTTTCCATCGGTAGTCCCAGATGTTAACCATTTTTACAATTGCTTCTATATTAATGTACATCGCCTGCTACGTAGCAGAAGGGAGTTACAAATTCAGTTTCACCCTATAACCTATTGTATTGTATAAAAATAAATCTACCTACCTAAATAATATTACAATATTTAATTTTTACTAGTTGTTTTTATCATGATTTCATGTTCCAATGATGGTGTACTAACATATCACGTTAAAAGATGATGATATATGATTTATGTTATTAACTATCTGACTTGTTTCTGCTGAAAACATGTGGAGAAAAAAATCTGGTATTGCAGGTGTTACAAAAAAATTTTATGCTAACATCTGTTAGCATTGAGTTGCTTAGAAAATGACTACACGGGGCAACTTTTTTAAAGCATGTTACCATGTTCAACTGCCAGGTTAAACAGGTTAGCAAACATGCACGAATAAAAAAAGAAATAGTTTTTAAAATTAGATAAAGTGTAACTGACCCTTGAAAACTGACATTTGACTAAATGAAATGAGTGTGAACAACACTAAAAATGTACAAACCTGGGCCATTTTCTCTCAAATGAGAAAGTTCCTTCCTGTAAAGTTCTGTGGTTCTTTCAAACATCCCAGATATGTCCTCAGCAACAGCGTTTAGTCGCTCAGTCATCAACACTTTCAGTCTTTCTAGGTTTGACATTTTCAGCAGCTGTCTCAGGGGGGATATAAAGAGTTTTGCAACAGTTAGCTTCTCAGCTAGCAAGTGCTAATCTTACCCTGATTTCAGATAGAAACGGCTCTTCTGTGTTGCTAGGTTACCACTCTGTCATTCTGGTTCCAGCCGGTTCCGGCTAGCTAGCTAAACTAACTTTAACAGTTTAATGCAGCACACTAACTGTAGCTAACATTCAGATTATATTAGTATAAATAATTATAATAAGAATAATCAGATGAACTCTGATAAACCAGATGTGGATTAGGTGTTGAGATTCAGTTATAAATGCAGCAAGTTAATAAAGTGACACCTTCAATCACACAATGATTAAGAGCACACAGTTAAAGGTGCAGTAGTGATTCTGGAGAAATCCAAAACCTTCACAAAAATCGCGATATAGAGCCAGTGTTGGTCATCTTACTTTAAAAAAGTAATTAGTTACAGTTACAAATTACTTCTCCCAAAAAGTAATTGAGTTAGAAACTCAGTTACCGCATTGTAAAAGTAATTAGTTAGCAAAGTAACTGTGATGTTATTTTTCATTACGTTCTATAACAGCTTTAATGTCAAAGATATTTATATTAACTGATTAAAGAATAAAAACACTATATACAGTATTTTAGAACATTTGGTATTTATTTGAACTCAATAGATTGCAGCCTGCCATATGATATGCATAGAAATAAAAACATATAAAAAATAAAATTTAAGTGCAAAATTAAGACACACAAATGTAAACTTGGGTAAAAAGAAACAACGGAAAATCTGGCCATTAAGTATTATTGAACAATAAACAGAACATATCCAACTCTTAAATATTCAGTGCAGTAACCAAATTAAATATTGAAAATTGATGGACGTGGATAAAGTCTTTTTTCCTGCATAAACATTCTTGCCTTTAATTTCAATCAGCGAGAAGTAACATTAGTGCCGGTACTTCCAGTTCGAGAACGCTGAATTTCCCTGGCTCGTCGCCATTGTGGCAATGAAAATGCTAACAAAGACATCAATGAGGTATGGTGTGCAAAAACCACCACCTACTTTGCACCAATACAAAGAGGGGCTCTGACCAGAGTTGAGGAGCTTATAGCTAATTCTGCACTCATTAATGACGTCTCTCAGAAACGGGTCTATAGCTGAATCCTGGTTGTAAGCAGAAGCAGACACGCCTTCATTACTGTGATAGATGTAAAGGATTCAATTTTTGCCAAAATATCTCTCAAAGAGATCTTGTTGAACCAGTTAAATGTAGAAAATATAGTCACCTCATTAAAATAAAGGATATAATCTACACATCACATTAGCATTTGCAAGTTTAGCTCTCATCTGTGTAGAAGTTGTAGACCAGTCTACAGCAGGCACATGAGAAGGCTGCTGTAGAAGAAGACAGCATGTCACCATTGTACAGCACATTATGTTCTTCTGGTCCTAACATGCATTTATTTCAATAGCTGGCACTCAAAACTAATATCAAATTGTATTACCACACTGGACAAATGAGACACGTGCATGCTGAGTTATGAATCTGAAATTTTTTGTTTTATAAGAGGCCCCAGGTGGGTAAAACAAATATTTATCGATATGAATGTGATTAATTATTACTCAGCTAAAAGCCAGGACAGGTTTGGTTCAGTAACATTTTATTCCTAAATGTGTGTTTGCAGAATAACTTGACATTCACCGGCGCCATTAATGGGGACGTGTACGTGTGGAGGGATTACTACCTGCTGAGGGTGGTGGCGAAGGCTCATACAGGGCCAGTCTTTACCATGTACACTACGCTGAGAGACGGACTCATCGTGACCGGTGGCAAGGAGAGGCCGTGAGTAACACCAACAGCTGATGGCAAATGAGCTGAATGTATTTTGCGTTAACTGCAGTTTCCAAACATCATTGTAACAGTAAAAAATGCTTTCTTTTAGAGCTTAACACATGTTATCATTGTTTTCTTTCATCAGTATAATAATTAACACAGAGGTTGTCTCATTATACATAAACTTGTTAATAAATGCCTGAGTTCATTTTAAACACAGACTTCCCAGAAGTCGCACATGTCAAGACTTTTTACCCAAATTTATTTTCATACCAGAATTGCACTGGGTACATTTCATTACAGTGAGTAGTCAAGTCTAGTAAATCTCTATTTAAACAGCACATTTTATACACAGGCAAAGTCCTGGGCAACGCAATGTGTTTAACATGACAATACGATGGCAATACAATCATACAAGTGCCAGTGCAGAATAAACATATCAACAGGTGTTAGTGCACTTATACAAAGAATCAGTGCAGAATATACAAGTGTCAAAATATACACATATATACGTATAGGACTATTAAAAACAAACAAATGCTTTGTGTGTGTGTGTCAGGACTAAGGAGGGCGGTGCGGTGAAGCTCTGGGATCAGGAGATGAAACGTTGTCGAGCGTTCCAGCTGGAGACGGGACAGCAGGTGGAGTGTGTTCGATCAGTCTGCAGAGGCAAGGTGAGAGCTTTAGATTTTTTTATCCCTCAGTCGTCATACTTCCTCCGTCCTGCTCATCAGCTTCATCTTTCCTTCCTCAGGGTAAGATCCTGGTGGGGACGAAGGACGGGGAGATCATCGAGGTGGGGGAGAAGAACGCAGCGTGCAACCTGCTGCTGGACAGTCACGCTCGGGGAGGAATCTGGGGTCTGACCGCTCATCCTGCTAAAGAGCTCTGCATCACCGCCAGCGACGACGCCACCATCAGACTGTGGGACCTCACTGACAAAGTACACACTCACACACACACACACACACACACACACACACACACCCACCCACCCCATGGCATCTGGCTGTGTATTACTGCGCTCTAGCTGTGCATTACTGCGCTCTAGCTGTGTATTACTGCGCTCTAGCTGTGCATTACTACACTCTAGCTGTGTATTACTGCGCTCTAGCTGTGTATTACTGCGCTCTAGCTGTGTATTACTGCGCTCTAGCTGTGTATTACTGCGCTCTAGCCGTGCATTACTGCACACCAGCTGTGTATTACTGCACACCAGCTGTGTATTACTGCTCTCTAGCCGTGCATTACTGCTCTCTAGCCGTGCATTACTGCACTCTAGCCGTGCATTACTGCTCTCTAGCCGTGCATTACTGCACTCTAGTCATGCATTACTGCACTCTAGCTGTGTATTACTGCACTCTAGTCATGCATTACTGCACTCTAGCTGTGTATTACTGCACACCAGCTGTGCAATACTGCACACCAGCTGTGTATTACTTCTCTCTAGCCGTGCATTACTGCTCTCTAAACTTAAGTTATCACCTAAATCAATTCATGATAGAGAAGAAGAAAAAAAAACAGCTGAATGCCTGTAGCTAGCTTAGCATATCTCAACACATGCTGACCACTTTCTAAAATACAGAGACCTCTTGGCCTTTATTGAACATTTGTTAAAAGTACAAAGAATCAGAAACAAGTTTGTTGCCAAGTCGATTTTTACATGTAAGTAATTTTCTTTGGTGTTGTGATGCTTAACAGTAAAAAAATATACAAAGTAGGAGAAAATATAAAGATATAAGATGTAAAATTTACCATGTGCAATGTGCAAAGAGAGATAAAGATACATAGATGTACACAATTAGATTAAAGTGATGAGTTGTGTCGGCTGTGGAGGTTAAATCGATGTGCAATTGAATATATTTATGTATAATCCACCAATTGTTGATCCATATTTCTGGAGTTTTACATTAACCCATGTCAGTCACTAGAAGCATTGAAAGGTAATTAGATCCTTCCTCCAAACTATCCTGAGTGATGTTTATTGATAAGATCACTTCACAAATCCTATTTTGCTTAAAGTACATTGGATGAGTGTTAATTCTGTTTCTTTTTTTCTCTTTCTGTAGAAACTGTTGAACAAGGTGTGTGTTGGCCACGCAGCCCGGTGTGTGAGCTACAGCGCAGATGGAGAGATGCTAGCGGTGGGGATGAAGAACGGCGAGTTCCTCATCCTCCTCTCCAACTCGCTGAAGATGTGGGCGAAGAAAAGAGACCGCAGCGCCACCATCCAGGACATCCGGTACGAGAGAGAGGGAGTGGAGGGGGTGACGGAAAGAGAAATAAACCGCAAAAATACAACAGAAGTCATGAATTTCACAATATACAAATATATGTAAACCAAAAAAGATAACATCAAGAACAAACAAGGGCAGGAAACAAAAATGTATTTTTACAACATTTAAACAAAACACAGAAAATGTGTAAATCCCAGACTGAAGAAATCAGAATAAATACCAACTAAATACTCAAGCTTAACATTTGTGCAGGTTCAGTCCAGACCGGCGGCTGTTGGCTGTCGGTTCGGTGGAGAACACGGTGGATGTGTACGATGTGAGCGGGGGGCCAAGTCTGAACCGGCTGGTTTACTGCAGCGACATCCCTGCTTTCATCCTGCAGCTTGACTTCTCTGCTGACAGCTGTTATATACAGGTATATACACACACACATGTACTGTACATACTGCTGACAGCTGTTATATACAGGTATATACATACACACATGTACTGTACATAGTACTGACAGCTGTTATATACAGGTATATACACACACATGTACTGTACATACTGCTGACAGCTGTTATACACAGGTATATACACACACACATGTACTGTACATACTGCTGACAGCTGTTATATACAGGTATATACATACACATGTACTGTACATACTGCTGACAGCTGTTATACACAGGTATATACACACACATGTACTGTACATACTGCTGACAGCTGTTATATACAGGTATATACATACACATGTACTGTACATACTGCTGACAGCTGTTATACACAGGTATATACACACACATGTACTGTACATACTGCTGACAGCTGTTATATACAGGTATATACATACACACATGTACTGTACATACTGCTGACAGCTGTTATACACAGGTATATACACACACACATGTACTGTACATACTGCTGACAGCTGTTATATACAGGTATATACACACACATGTACTGTACATACTGCTGACAGCTGTTATATACAGGTATATACATACACACATGTACTGTACATAGTACTGACAGCTGTTATACACAGGTATATACACACACATGTACTGTACATACTGCTGACAGCTGTTATACACAGGTATATACACACACACATGTACTGTACATACTGCTGACAGCTGTTATATACAGGTATATACATACACATGTACTGTACATACTGCTGACAGCTGTTATATACAGGTATATACACACACATGTACTGTACACTGCCCACAGCTATTATATACAGGTATATACATACACATGTACTGTACATAGTACTGACAGCTGTTATATACAGGTATATACACACACATGTACTGTACACTGCCCACAGCTATTATATACAGGTATATACATACACATGTACTGTACACTGCCGACAGCTGTTATATTCAGGTATATACACACACACATGTACTGTACATAGTACTGACAGCTGTTATATACACGTATATACACACACATGTACTGTACATAGTACTGACAGCTGTTATATACAGGTATATACACACACATGTACTGTACATACTGCCGACAGCTGTTATACACAGGTATATACACACACATGTACTGTACATACTGCCGACAGCTGTTATACACAGGTATATACACACACATGTACTGTACATACTACCGACAGCTGTTATACACAGGTATTTACACACACATGTACTGTACATACTACCGACAGCTGTTATACACAGGTATTTACACACACATGTACTGTACATACTGCCGACAGCTGTTATACACAGGTATATACACACATGTACTGTACATAGTACTGACAGCTGTTATACACAGGTATATACACACATGTACTGTACATACTGCCGACAGCTGTTATACACAGGTATATACACACACATGTACTGTACATACTGCCGACAGCTGTTATACACAGGTATATACACACATGTACTGTACATAGTACCGACAGCTGTTATACACAGGTATATACACACATGTACTGTACATAGTACTGACAGCTGTTATACACAGGTATATACACACACATGTACTGTACATACTGCTGACAGCTGTTATACACAGGTATATACACACACATGTACTGTACATACTGCCGACAGCTGTTATACACAGGTATATACACACACATGTACTGTACATACTGCCGACAGCTGTTATACACAGGTATATACACACATGTACTGTACATACTGCCGACAGCTGTTATACACAGGTATATACACACATGTACTGTACATAGTACCGACAGCTGTTATACACAGGTATATACACACACATGTACTGTACATACTGCCGACAGCTGTTATACACAGGTATATACACACATGTACTGTACATAGTACTGACAGCTGTTATATACAGGTATATACACACACATGTACTGTACATACTGCCGACAGCTGTTATACACAGGTATATACACACATGTACTGTACATACTGCCGACAGCTGTTATACACAGGTATATACACACATGTACTGTACATAGTACTGACAGCTGTTATATACAGGTATATACACACACATGTACTGTACATACTGCCGACAGCTGTTATACACAGGTATATACACACATGTACTGTACATACTGCCGACAGCTGTTATATACAGGTATATACACACATGTACTGTACATAGTACTGACAGCTGTTATATACAGGTATATACAGGTACACCCTCTACACTAATGACTGTCTCAGCCCCAGCCCCATTACACAGTATTATATATATTTAGATAACACAGTCATACTTGCACTTCTCAAGGACAATAACTCAGCCATGGCATATCAGCAATCCAACTCTCACTTCACTCAGTGGTGCACAGACAGTGACCTTCTCCCTAATGTCACCAAGACTCATTGAAACCTGCAATAAACCCAGTAAACTGCCACTCGCACTGCCACATCTCCATCAACAGTGAGCCAGCTGAGATGTTGGAGAGCTTCAAGTACCTTGCAATCACCCTTGACAATAAACTCAGCTTTGATCATCACACTACCGACATCAATAAATGCTGCTGTCCATCAGGAAACTCAGGGTGCTCTCAGTCACTACTACACTGCACTACTGTACATCTCTCACAACTATTCGCTCATTACAATAGTTCACGCACTGTACATACTGATAATACACCTTGCTATTATTCAAGGTTTTATTTAACTGATGTATCTAGGCTACTTAACTATTTAATTATTTCGCTGCTGCTATTACTGTTGTTATTATTATCACTACTTCTGATGCTGCTATTACTGTTTGGTCTAATTGGTCTCCCTACTCCAAACCCCTCAGTGCTCAGTGACACTACCATCACACTCAACCCCATATATATTTTCTGTGTGCGCAGGTGTCCACAGGAGCTTATAAGCGACAGGTGTTTGAAGTTCCTTCAGGGAAGCTGATGAGCGACCAGACCATAATTGACAGAATCACATGGGCAACCTGGACCAGGTAACACACACACAGTATTCAAATTATCTTTAAAAACTTGAAAGTCAAATAATAAATCCACAAGTCTCCACAAATGTTTTATCTGCCTTGTGATTTATTTGTCCATCTAATGTTGTCTAACTCTGTCTGCCTCCAGCTGTTTTATAGTCCTACAGCTGTAAAAGTAAAACTTTCTGAAGTAACTAAAATGTGCCGTGTTCAGCTGTTTTGAATCAACACTTCCTGTCTCTTCTCTCCCGCAGCATCCTGGGAGATGAAGTGTTGGGAATATGGCCGCGAAACGCAGACAAAGCTGAAGTCAACTGCGCGTGTGTGTCTCACGCCGGCCTGAACATTGTCACCGGCGACGACTTTGGATTGGTCAAACTGTTCGACTTCCCCTGCACAGAGAAGTTTGTGAGTCACCGACATTTTCATTTTTGTAAAGTAGCGTTGGATGATTTGAGTCTATAACGGCTGAAAAGAGCTGGTAGACCACTGAGTGCCCATGGGAGCTGTTCATGAGCAAAGTGGGTGAGAATTTGGAAACATTAAACAATAACAATTTAGACAGAGAGATATATATTTTCTGGGTGGTTGGATAAAATCTGGGACTTGTATAACCAGCAAGCATCACCGCACCCTTTGAACGACAGTAACAAAGATAATTTATTGTTTGTTTATTGAAGAGAAATGTGAGAATTTTTTCTGTCTGCAGGCCAAACACAAGCGCTACCTCGGCCACTCGCCTCACGTGACCAACATCCGCTTCTCCCACGAAGACAGATACGTGGTCAGCACAGGAGGAGACGACTGCAGGTGAACTGATCACTGATCAATAACAGACGATCACCTGAAACCCAAAGCAGCTGCAGTTTGAACATGAAACGTTTAGATTCTTCTCTTTAAGAGGGTGTGTTCACTCCACTGCTGAGATAAAAACTGACTCCTCTCTCAAAAATAAAAACACAACGTGCGACCGTTTAACTTCAACAAACAAAACATTTAACCAAGAATGAAATCATCTGCGTTTCTGAAATATTACTGATGACTTTCAAGCAGAAATAAGACTCAACATTTTAGTCACTCCACATGCATGATGCGTTTTTTAACTCAAACTCAGCTGAAAGTCTGACTTCTCATTTTCTCAATTTAGTAACGTACAAAGCTGAAAATAAAACAGAAATGACACAGGCACATATACAAAAAGTACACATCTGTAATTTCTCTGTTTAAACACAAATACAGTAGAAAAATGTAAGAAATAAAACTACAATACAGTCTATTTACACGTATAGTGATTTTTATTGTTATTTTTTAAAATTTTATTCAGTGTCTATGTTTGCATGAAAATCATTGAAAATATTGAAACATACATTGACACGAATGTCTGTACATGATATATAAATAAAGTTACGTTCCTTTAAATAAGACTCCAGAGGGTAAGATGTCTTGGTGACAGAAACTGTAGCTGTTAAAGAGTTTCTAACGTTGAACTGTGTGAACGTCTGTTTGTCTGTTGCAGTGTGTTTGTGTGGAAATGCCTGTAAACGCTGAGACTTCTGCCGTCTGGTGACGCTTTTATTTAAAGCGCCTTAACTGCACCACAAGTGGATCCAGAGGGAGTCAAACCCACGACCCGAGCGTATTCGCACCTGTTTGTTCGACAGTGAGTTTCGACGGTAGAGATGGAGGAAGACTCTCTGTTGACTGCTGCAACACAAAGCCGACTTCAGTGATTAGGTGAGATGTTTAGATTTGGTTGGCTTCAGATTTTTTTGTGATGAGGCAGGAAACCACAGACTGCAGCCAAACACATGAGACGCTTCATGATGGATCACATGACCCTGAACAAACCACGAGGAGACGTAAAGACGCAAAAGAATCATTCACTTTTTAAGGAAACATCAGATGTTTTTTCTTGGTCTGAACAACTGCTCATTTAGAAGCCAACCAGCTTTGAAACATAAGTCATGTGACCACACTACCACAGCAGTGAAGGAGAGGTTTAATTCTGCATAAAGCAGTAAATCACCACCCCATCTCCTGCTACCCAGAAGGCCTTGCACAGGGTCATTGTTGTACTCGGTGCAACGAGGATGGCAAACAAACTGCACCTCCAGGTCATTCAATAATCATGTGACCATCAGGAGTCACAGAGTGTCAAACATAAAGAGAAAAAGGTTCAACACAACAACATTTTGGATTTTCATAAAGAAAATCTATTTTCTCTCAAACAAACCTTTTGAAACATTGAGTGTTTCCTCCTGTCCAGGGGTCAGATGCATAAAACTTTGTACACACAAGACAGAAATATGTATTCGTCTGATGTACGAAGCCGTGCGCACGCATTGTTCTGTTTTATGAATCTCAGTTATTGTGGAAATGCTCATTTCCACTCCCAACGTGAGCCTTCGATATATGACAAACTTCAATAAAGGACTGCTTCAACTTTAAACAATACTGACATGACTGTATGTTCACTGAAAGGGTTACTGAGTGCTGGAATTATTCCTCCTGTTCAAACGTGAAATTAAAAGATCTCTTCCTAACGCACTTTCAAATCCACCAAGTTTAACCAAAGATAAAATGAGGCGTCAGCAGACTGAGTGAGACTAATCATATTAAAAAAAATTCATGTAGCTGACGCTTTTATCCAAAGCGAATTACAACTGCTATACAAGTAAGAGGTCGCACGAGTCTGGAGCAACTAGGGGGTAAGTGTCTTGCTCAGGGACACATTGGTGGATGTGTCACAGTGGGAATCGAACCCAGGTCTCTCACACCCAAGGAATGTGTCTTATCCACTGCACCGTCACCATCCTTATTCTTTCATCATGTGGTTAGGGTCATGAAACATCAATGATAGCGAATAGAATTCAGTCAAATAATATATATATTTTTTTATTCA